TGTCAGGCACCTGCTTATGTCAAGAGAAACATCGACTCCAAGGCTGAATCAATAACGATCTTGATAACATCTGCTAACTAGAACGAGCAATCACTAAATAAAAGCGAGCATCGAACCATAGGGCCGGATCAACCGAAGTTGATAACATCTATCTGCTAACACGCAGGCAATCACTAAATAAAAGCGAGCATCAAACCAGAAGGTCGGATCAACCGAAGTTGATAACATCTATCTGCTAACGCGCAGACAATCACTAAATAAAAGCGAGCTTCGAACCAGAAGGCCGAATCAACCGAAGTTGACAACAATCTATCTGCTAACGTGCAGGCAATCGCTAAATAAAAGCGAGCATCAAACCATAGGGTCGGATCAACCGAAGTTGATAACATCTATTTGCTAACGTGCAGGCAACCGCTAAATAAAAGCGAGAATCGAACCAGAAGGCCGGATCAACCGAAGTTGATAACATCTATCTGCTAACGCGCAGGCAATCGCTAAATAAAATCGAGCATCGAACCAGAAGGCCGGATCAACCAAAGTTGACAATAATCTATCTGCTAACGCGCAGGAAATCGCTAAATAAAAGCGAGCATCGAACCATAGGGCCGGATCAACCGAAGTTCATAACAATCTATCTGCTAACGCACAGGAAATCGCTGAATAAAAGCGAGCATTGAGCCAGAAGGCCGGATCAACCGAAGTTGATAACATCTATCTGCTAACGTGCAGGCAATTGCTAAATAAAAGCGAGCATCGAACCAGAAGGCCAGATCAACCAAAGTTGACAACAATCTATCTGCTAACACGCAGTCAATCGCTAAATAAAAGCGATCATCGAACCATAGGACCGGATCAACCGAAGTTGATAACATCTATTTGCTAACGTGCAGGCAACCGCTAAATAAAAGCGAGCATCGAACCATAGGGCCAGATCAACCGAAGTTGATGACATCTATCTGCTAACGCGCAGGCAATCGCTAAATAAAAGCGAGTATCAAACCAGAAGGCTAGATCAACCGAAGTTGATAACATCTATCTTGATGAATCACAAGAATATGCCGTTGGGAGGAGAGAGAACTTGAACAAGTAACTCTGCTTTGGGGATGCAAGAAACCTGGTTGGGCTACTCTGCTGAGGAACAAAGAGGGACTTAAACAAGCAACTCTGTTGGGGAGAACCTATCTGTCGCGGTGAAATTTGGATACCAAACTATTGATTAGTTTGAATCTTTAATTCAATTTGCAACCGAACTTTGATTTGTCCAAAGGAAGGGATAAAGATCGAAATTCCCACAATGCAATGCAAATACAAGGTTTAGAGAGTTATAGGTTCGGGGGTTGGTTAAACTTAGGGAAGGTACTAGCATCCTAAGTTTCTGTAGTATCCTACAGGAACCTCTTGTTTTATGTTTGTTTATTGCTAAGTGTTTATCTGCTTAAGGGTTTAAAGACCTAGTGGTTTATTTCTAAGTATACTCGATAAGATATCGCATCTTATGCCTACATATCCTTACGGGAGTGGAATCAGAGTATTTGTAGTTCCCCTAAAGGGTTTGAGGAGTTCTTTGACTGTGGTCAAAGTTCCTACGAGTTTAGGTAGTTGATTGATTGATTTTAGGAGAAGAGATGTGTCTTCATTTTAAGGGGGATATGACCGCCACAGGTTGTAGGAAAATATTCTTTGCATCGTCTTAAGAAAAGGACTTACGTACTCGGATAGGGATCAACGAGGTACACCTTTATCTCTCTTAAGGCAAAGTCCCTACATGTTGATTGTATTGTTGTGGGGTGGAGGTTCTATCTCACTTAAGATGATTAACATCTTTCTCTAATGTGTTTGAATAAAGTTGTATTGAGTTGTTGAATGTTTGAATATTGCATGTTGAGTTGATTGTTTTTGTTTCTATGTTGTAAGATAAAAGACAAGGTCCTCCTATGGGGTAGGATCTATCTTAAGCGATCGACTTGAATGGGATCAAGGATCGAGGGGAGAATGATGCAAATGTGGGTGCACTACACACGATTGTTGAATCATGTGTAGGTTTTTCCTTTAGACGGATGCGATGCGGAAAATAAATTGCGATAATATTAAATTGCGAAAGATAAATTGCGGAAAGTAAAGCCATACACACGCATGAAAGCGCTAACGTGTGTGAGAGTGAAAGTGTCGTGAATGTGAGTGTGCACGGTTGTGTTGGATATAATGTTAATTGATTAAGCTGAGTTGATTAGTTTGAGTTGATTTGTGTTTTAGTGAGGTTTATTCGATTTTATATGTGAAACTGGTTTTAGTAAAAAAGTTGTATTTGAGATAGACTAATTTTAGTTGATTTAGACTTATGAGAAAATAATTTTGGTGAGATGGCTTAAGAGATGTTGTTTATTTTTTATGAGAAAAGGTTATATTAATTTTAAATTATCAAATATAAAATGAGTTTTTTTTTTATAAAGGCAACCTATTATTTAAAAAACACAAATTAACTATAATTTTTAATAAAATGTGTTATTACTATTAAAGTATTAAATAGATTTAATAAAATGTAAATAAATTATTTTAATGGTTTTTTACTAAATTATTATAACAAAAGAGATATTATGAAAATGTTGATTAATTAAAAGACTGATGATTATGATTAAAAAAGTTATTAGTTTATTTTTAAAAGAGATTAATTATGGTTATGATTAAATAAAAAAGGATTAAGGTTGATTTTAGTTATTAGCTGGTGATTAAAGGTTTAAGGGCACGGTGAGTGTGTGGTTAATGAGTGATTAGGTGATTAGTGGTGTTGTGCCTGTGTGTGCATAGGATTAATATTACACTAAAATACAACAAAACAGAAAAAGGAACAGTAAAACCTAAATTCCCAAATCCCCCCCTTTTTTCGATCTCGCCTCTCTCTAGCTCTCTCTCCGTTCCTTTTCTTCTCCTTCATTTATCATTTTTCTCCATTTTCGACCCTGCAATCAAACCGAAGGCATCAGTAATTCAATAGCATTGATAAGAGCAGAAGTTTACCGAAGGTTGGTGACGGCGGCAAAACTTCGGTGGCGAAATCGGACGACGTTGGCTCCACTCGGTGGTTGAAGAAGATAAGTTCTTGTCTTCGCTCCCTCAGATCACGAACTTAAGGTTTTTTATTACGAAATCCCTCTCCTAATTCACTTCAGTCTCTCCTTTTTATAGGCTTCAGTTGATTTCCTCGTGTTAAACCTGATTGAAGTGTTTTGAATGCTGATTGATGGTTGATTGGATTTTCCTTTCTAGTGTAGACAATATTTGAAAACTTTCTCTTTTCAAATAATTTTGTTTAATGCCTATTAAGTGGAAACTTCAAACCCTGATATTGTGTATCAAATTTGTTGAATACTTTGTCTGTCCAGATTCAATGCTTTTTGAGGATTTGGATAGGATCTTTTACGAATCTTTTTTTTCCACACGGTATATTCTTTGATCTGATTTGCTAATTTGGGTTTGGAATTTGGAAGGTGTGAATAATGATTTGTTTTGGGCCAAGGGAGATTGACGGTCCAGAGAAAGAAACAAGCTTGCATCTGACACGTGAATTGCATACATTGCTGATATCTGACTTCAATGTGGCCTATGTACGGTTTTACGTATTCAACTGATAGTGATCAGTGTTCATATCAGAGTGAGTGTGAAGTTCATTAAGCCATCGACCAGTGCTATCAAACGTTTGGCACCTGCTAATGGCAAATACACCGAGGTAACAACTCTGAACCTCTTTTGCTCAGTTGTCCCATATCTGCGCTTTAACTTCCTTTTCGTTAATTTCCATTTTCTGAGTTTGAAACTCTACTCCTGCAGTTGACTCTAGATTAGGATAAAATTCATCCCTGGCGAATCTTACAAGCAGATTTGATTTTCCAACAGCTGAAACACCAATTAAAACAACTTTGAAAAGGTAATGTTGTAGGTCTGTTACGGCGGCTCGTGCTGATAAATTTGTGGTGGATTGATTTTATTGTCATGGCTTTTTGACAGAGGGAGTAAGGCTTATGCGTTTCGGTTTCGTTCAGCAGGGTCAGAAGGAAACTGCAGATGGGGAGCCAATGAAGGTTTTGCATTTTAGGAAGCAACATCTTCTCTTCTTCTCGAAGAGCATCAGAGGTTGACTGCAAATCATGTCGGTCTTTTCAAGGTTGGATATTTTCTTTCTGTATGAAGAAATTTCTGCTTGTTCGATTTCCGACCGCTTCTCAAGCTTTAGCTCAATTGATCTTAGGCTGAGTGCCTTCTCCTCTAAACCAATGACCTCGGATGCCAATAACTTGGCATGCTCATCAGCTGCATTGCACTCAAGTTGCACATTTGTATACTCACTCCTGATAGCTTCCAGCTCAACCAGTTGTGCTTTGATCTCTTGCTGTAAGTTCTCCTCTGTGTGTGGCTGAGTTTGCTTTCGCATCCTCTCTGGTATTCTATCTGAAAAAGTGACTCTTTCTCTTTTTACTGGCATCCAGCCTCCCGTGTCCACTTTTGAAGCTGCAGTTGCTGGAGTGTTCATCTTTGATTCACTAGCTGGACGCTGATGGATTTTTGGTGTTATATATTGTTTGCTCACACACTTGAGAGACAAACTAGACCGCGTCAGATCCTTTTGGTTAGTATCTTTTAAACTGCGAGAGATTTCCTGCATTTCCTTGTTGGTGTTCTGGAGATCCTTCTGCGAATTTCTTAGAGAGCCTTCAATTAGCTGAGGCATGGCTAAAGCCAACATATATTTCCTGTAACTTCTCTATGTTTGTAACATGGCTCAATTGTTCGGATAAAAATTTCAAGCTCTCATTAGTGCTTGCTTTAATTTCTTCTTGTCCTTTCATTATTAACTGAAGCGAGTTATTCTGGGCAATCAACTTTTGTCTTATGATTAATTTCCTTTATTCCTTTGCATCAGAATCCATGATCATTGCAAACCTGCTCAATGAGGTTTCCATTATGCTAATCGGTTTTCAAGTCCTTCACCTAACTGATTTTTTTTATTATCTACAGAGTTCCATTTGACCAGGGGATTGATGAAGATCTTGAGTTGTGTGGTTGACTATCGTCCTTTGAAAAAACGTGTCGAGGCAAACTAGAAAACCTCCTTGAAGAGTTCTCATGTTCTTGAGAACGCGCTCTCTGATCATTTGCTGTGATAGCTTCAACGAGCGAGCTTTGAGAGAGATGAGACATAATTCCTTGCTGAGAAGATAATCCCTAGAAAACGACTGCTGAGACGGTTGTGATCGATGCCGCGACGCTTGCAATCCATTCGACACATTGTTCGACCTTCTTGAATAAATGTGAGGAGGATGGAAGACGGATATGGAGGAGAGATCGGCAGCTTTGTTGATCTTCATTTCATTTCAGATCTGTGTTCGAAGTTTGTTGGTGGGACATTGAAGGTGCAACGCGGTTCGAGCCGTTCCAAATCGTCGCTTGAAAGACGACGCTGACAGAAACTTAGGCGCGGTGCTTAGTTTGAAAGGTTGAACCTGACAAACTTCCCAATACTTTGCCATCAAAGTTTTCTGGTTGCTTCGAAAAGCTCCTCAATTAAGCTTCCCTTCAAGTAGACATGTTTTGGGTTTAAACTGTTTCCTCTACAAAATGTGATGCAAGAAGGTCTTGTATACTGTTTCATTCACTGATTTATGCCTTAATATTCTGCAAAGTAACTTTCAAATGTAGCTGGATCTTTCATATCTACTTTTCATCATCGGAATCAACATCCGCATTTTTCTCAATTAGAAATGCGAGTTTTGAGTATTGCTTACAAAATCCTTTGTTTCTTTTGATTTTAGCAAAATCAACATTATAGTAACATTTTTCGCAAACAACTATTGGGCAGAAGAAACACATAAACTTTGATGTTTTACCGCCTAGGGAGCAATAATGTGACCAACAACACCAATTATTGTTACCTGTCAAAAAGGAAGCATCTTGTAATAACTTTTGAGCAATGAAGCCAAATCATATTTAATTTAAGTCTTCATTTAAATTCTTTTGTGGCCCTCTGTTGTATATAAATTTTGATGCATAAATGTCATAGCATGTGATTTTGAGACGATAGTTCTGAACATAATATCCTTGGAGTAGAAATTGTGGATCGAAGGATATGGCCTTGTAGAGTTCTAGCATCTTCAAATTTTGAGTTACCACCTTATGAAATTCATAAAAATAATAAAATCTCCTTGAAATTGCAACTTTGGCACTTTAAATAATCTTGGATCCACCCCCCAAATATGTACTTTGTAATTTGGGCCCAATTTCGTATATGACATTTACAACTTGAATGAGCAACACAATATACAATCTCACGTCAGAGCATGAAACTTTGCTTGCCAAGACTCATAGATTTGAGGATGAGTCAAAAGGTAACTTGAATGAATCAAATCTTAAGTCTTTTTCTACCCTCACAAAGAAAGACTTAAACGACGATGGACAAGGTACACAAACCACAAAGATACCAATCCAAATAATGACACTCAACACCAACGGAGGGAACACCCCAACTCTCCTCGTGATACATACCGAAGCTTTTGAGACCCTTGAGTAAAGTGACATTAATACGTTCCAACCCAAATGCCATAGAAGAAACAGTTGGTCAATCTTATAAGGCTCAAACCAGTAGACAACTTTAGGGTCCTGAATCACATTGGTTACGTCCTGAAAGGCTGGGCTATGAGAATAAGTGGAATTTACCCTTGAAATCAATATTCCTGCACACACTTGTTAGTCGCACATAAAGGTGAAAAACGAAAGAAAAACACCCAAAGAGGTGGAGTCTTAAGGTCAAAAATTAGGGTGCAACACTATCTCTGCTGGAGAAGTGAACCACACCAATTTCAATTGGACATAACCCGGGGAAACGAACCTCAGGCAACTTTCCATTGGGAAACAAAGTTCTACGAGAATCTGTACTTGCTCAACTCGGTATACGAACCACGAACTATTGAGAAAAAGATGCCAACCGCAGAAATAAACTGCACGGCCTTCGTAGATAGAATCTTCCTGGAGATATGGACTCTGATGGGGAAGCATAGCAGCAGCTATTCAAACACCCTCTCCTGCTGGAGAAGACAAACAATGGCCTGAACGGCCTTCAAGGATTCAGCTCTCTTGGGGAACTGTAAACTTGGCCGAGGATAGACAATCAGATGTCGCGGTGAAATTTTGGATACCAAACTATTGATTAGTCTGAATCGTTAATTCAATTTACAACCGATCTTTGATTTGTCCAAAGGAAGGGATAAATATCGAAATTCCCACAATGCAATGCAAATGCAAGGTTTAGAGAGTTATAGGTTCGGGGGTTGGTTAAACTTAGGGAAGGTATTAGCATCCTAAGTTTCTGTAGTACTCTATAGGAACCTCTTGTTTTATGTTTGTTTATTGCTAAGTGTTTATCTGCTTAAGGTTGAAAGACCTAGGGGTTTATTTCTAAGTATACTCGATAAGATGTCGCATCTTATGCCTACATATCCTTACGGGAGTGGAATCAGAGTACTTGTAGTTCCCCTAAAGGGTTAGAGGAGCTCTTTGACTGTGGTCAAAGTTCCTACGGGTTTAGGGTAGTTGTTTTGATTGGGTTTAGGAGAAGAGATGAGTCTTCATGTTAAGGGAGATGTAACCACCACAAGTGTAAAGGGGGTTGTAGGAAAATAGTCTTTGCATCGTCTTAAGAAAAGGGCTTAAGTACTCGGATTGTTTGACGAGTATGCCTTTATCACTCTTAAGGCAAAGTTCCTACATGTTTGATTGTATTATTGTGGGGGTGGAGATTATATCTCACTTAAGATGATTAACATCTATTCTCTATTGTGTTTGAAAAAGTTGTATAGTGTTGTTTGTTTGTCTAAGTTGTAGAGATAATGGTCCTTCCTATGGGGTAGGATCTATCCTAGAGATCGACTTGAATGGGATCAAGGATCATGGGGGAGTATGATGGAAATGATGTGCAACTACACACAACGTTGAATTATGTGTAGGTTTTTCCTTTGGACGGAATGTGATGCGATGCAATGGTGATAGATATAAATTGCGGTAAATAAAGAAATTGCGGATAAGTAAATGCATACACGAACGCATAAAAGCGCTAGGTGAGTGGGTGCTTTGTGGATAAATAAGAGCAAATAAGAATAAAGCATACATACGCATGAAAGCGCTAAGTGTAGGTGCATGTGTCGTGAGTGCATGATTGATTTGAATATATTTTGCGATGTTGGTTGATTTTAACTGTTTGACTTGTTTTTAGACGAGGTTGAATTATTTGAGAAAAGTTGATTTATTGATTGGAGTTGATTTAATTTATGAGAAAATTACTGTTGTTGATTGAATTGGCTTATGAGAAAATTGATTTCGTTTTGAATAAAATGTTGTTTTGAGCGAGTTGATTTTAAGAAAGTTACTTAGAAGTCATATTAGTTGTGAAAGTGGATTGAATTATATTTTTTAGTAAATTTAAGGTTACAATAGGTTTTGAAAATAATGAAAGGGGTGCTTATTAAATAAGTTGGTTTCCAATTATCAAAGATGTTTTATTAAAAGATTTTAACCACTTATAAACCTAAATTATTTATTTTAAATCAAAAGAATTCAATTAAATAAAAGTTATTTATATTTTTTATTAAAAATAAAAAGGCAGAAAATTGATTTAGATAAAAACTTATTTAGAAAATAAATTAAATATTTCATTAATTAATTAAAAAAAACAGTTAATTGAGAAGTTGATTAGGGTTGATTTTAGGTTAATTAAAGAATAAGGGGTTAAGTGGTGAGGTTAACGGTTAATGGTAGGGATTAGTGGAGGTTTAGTGTGTGTTTAGTGTTAGTGTGTGATAAGTGGGTGGTTAATCAACACAATGAAACAAATTCAGAAAAAAACGGAGGAGAAACCCTAAGTCCAAATCGTCTGCCCTCTCCCTCTATTCTTCCTCTCTCGCTTGATCGCTTCACGATCCATCCTTTCCCGCTCATCGCCTTACTACTATTTCTCCTTCCATGGCTTCCTTCATTTAATCCTGAAACACAAACCGAACAATCAGAAGTTTAATAGATTCGACACAAACGAAAGATTACCGTAGGCTGTGGATGGCGAGCGTTCTCGACGGCGTGAAAGTAGCGGTTGACGGCGGCAGTTGAGGATTCAGGAGATCTCGAAGGTGGCGATCGGAAGCAGATGTTCATGGCAATGAACGTCTCTCCGGCGGTGGATTGCGACCTCCGACGAACCTTCCAAAAGGATAAGTTTTAAATTTTCTTTTGTACCAATTTTGGATTTCAATGGATGTTGTTTTTCAACCGGGGGCCTTTGTGCTCTCGTTTTCGTTCCCTTTTATAGTGCCCAGATGAAATCTTCTGCTTAATGCCTTGATTGAATGCTGTGTTTGAACTTTCTGTTTTGGTTTAGGCATATTTCAAAAACTTCCCTTTTTCGTCCAATCTTGTTAAATGCCTGTTAAATGAAAAAAAAACAATCTTTGATTCTGTATCAATTCGTTTGCAATCTTATCTGTCTAGGTTCAATGCTTGAGAATTTGGGATTGGATATTCTCTTTTCCTTATCGGTATATTCCTTAGTAGATTGCTGACTCGTATCTAATGCTTTGGCAGGTGCGGATAACGGTTTGACTTGGGCCAGAAGATGAACTAGAAGCCCAGAGTAGCAACTTGACATTTGATGTAATGAGCCACGATTTTTCTTGGTGTTCTTTGGTGTAGACTCACGTGGAAGTGTTCAGAGTTCTCTTAGCGAGGTTATTGCTTTTTTTGCTTTGTTCTCCATTCTTGTTTGATGTGCATCTAATATTGTTTTTCTTTTCATGTGCTTGGAAATGGTGCCTGGGGAATTGGAGTAAGGTATTGCACAAGTTATTGTTCTCGCCGTTGGTGTTTTTATCTGTGCTAACCGATCGAGGTAGTCTGCAAAGGAGCTGGTGACCGTGGGAGCGAGGGAACAGTGTATCTGTGAGAGCATACAATACTATAGGTGCACCACCTATCTCCGTGTCATCTTCACTTTATCATTTGTTGGAATTTAAGTTCACTCTAACACAACACATTCAATCAGAGTTTCTGGCCATAGCCTTACAACCTTGCCTTGCACGGAGATACTTCTTACACGCATCAGAGTCTCAGAGGTAACCTAGTCCTTTTCACCATATTGCTGCAATGCTACTTTTCCAACAGCTTGAACATTGCTGCTACCGATAGAAAAGGAGCCCACCGGAGTTTGGCGAATCATTCTTTAGATATCTGAGGTGACTGAATTATTCCAACTTTTTGTTTTCGCTTGAGAACTCTCATCTGTAGTTTCGGTTTCAGCACTGATCTTCGAAGCGGCATCAATCTTCATTGA